TTCAGGACCTGAACCTGTCGGAGTGCGATGGAGTCAACGACGACGTGATGAAGGACATAGCGGAAGGCTGCCAGATACTGCTGTACCTGAACATCTCGCACACCAACATCACCGATGCAACACTCAGGCTGCTAGGAAGGTCAGTACTGGAGTAGTGTGAGATTTAAATGTACATGTCAACTTGCACATCTGCTTTGTTACCATATAGTTGCGTAATGACCACTGGGTTCAAAGAAGAGGTGTCGTTCTGCTGTGCAAAAACATAAGTTTGATGGCAAACATTCACCACACACGGAGGATGTTACCGATATGTGTCACATAAACATGGTCAGATGCCTTCGTCATATCATCCATTACCCTGAACAGACTTTTGTTTTTTCAGAAAAAGTTTACTTATTGTCAAAATTCTTTACTTGATGTGAAGAACAGCAGTGAGAAATAAGAAGTGGCTTCGTGTGGTGTGGCGTATGCCATTCAGTGGCTTCGTGTGGTGTGGCGTATGTCATTCAGTGACTTCATGTGGTGTGGCGTATGTCATTCAGTGGCTTCGTGTGGTGTGGCGTATGTCATTCAGGCAAAACCTACAAATTATGCTCCAGTTTGAAACTGAAGTAGGATTCACTTCCACAAGATATGGAAAACCACCCACGAAGCCCCCAGCCTTGTCTTGGTCGGATCCGAGTTTGTCGTTGACTTTAATCTCAGGCTTTTGGGTTGGTCAGAAGAACCATCACACATCTTGTGGCCAGAGTTCACACTAACAAGCGACGGTTTTAGTCTCATTGGTAAACTGTCTTTGGCAATTTCTATTCGTATTGGCTAGGTGTTCCCGCAACCTGCAGTACATGAGTCTGGCCTACTGCCGTCGCTTCAGCGACAAGGGCCTGCAGTACCTGGCCAATGGTAGGGGCTGCCGTAAGCTCATCTATCTGGATCTGTCTGGCTGTCCACAGGTGCAGTACTTAGGAGAAGAAAACACATTGTCACCATGGAATTGCTTGAGTTTTAGATCATTACAATAGAGCTATATTAAATTACCACAGCACTAACGTCTCCTCAGAGAAAATTTGACGTCGTCCTGGGCGCAGACATTTGGAATCTATGTGCCTGTAGAACATTCGAAATCAGATAGAATGAATATTGTTGTACATGTGTTCTAAATGCAATGTGTGTTGGGTACGGCTAAAATCTGGTTAAAAACGTCACGGCAAAATTATCTGCAGGGTATATGGGCACGCGTTTGCAGTTGTTTACGCACAGCAAAATGAAATGCTAATTTGTTGATTGTACATTAGTTTTGGTGCATATCGGCCTTGTCCACGCATCGTTTTAGAATACAGATGCAGATATGCAAATAACCGTACAAAAGCCGTGCAAAGTTTTGAGTCTTGCATAGGTTTGTGCACAAACATAGATGCACCCAGCAGGCATTACTTTGTACACGAGTCAGTGCTCTAGGTTTTAATATATAGCTCAATGATCATTGCAGAAAAAATCCAATAAAATCAGTAACTAACCATAGCCTGACAAGCTCTGATTGAATGCAAGCTAAAATCCATGATGGATGTTCCAGCCTAACTATTTGAGACCAGAAGAAGTAGGTTACATCCCTGGTTATCACTAGGTGGGTGTGTCAGAAATTATACAGTGGGAAGATTGTACCTTGACTCGCCGACTGCAGGTCTGTGAGAGGTTTTTACTGAAGTAATGGTGCACAGGTGCAAAAGGATGTATACCTATGTAGAGAGTTACGACATGAGGTGGTGTAAGGCATCATTTTGTTCCCAAAATGGTTGGCCGTTTTTCAAAATGGTGGATTGGGATGCACTGTTGATTAGAAAATAGCCAAAGGCAGATCAAAGTTGGATAACTGCATGTTTCCATGCCTAGATACAGATCCAGCATGCCCATAGTCTAACTAGCTACTCCCCTGAGACGTGATGGCAATTTTTTTATAAAGAATCGACAGCGCCAGCATTTCAATAACAGTACTACCTCCCATCATGGGGGAGATCGTTATCCGGATCACCATGAAACAACCAGGCCCTAGAGGTCCGATTTGGTACAGATCTCAAAGATTTGCAAATAAAATTCCAATATTATAGGATTTAGATTTTGAGGAGAACGGCGACGAAAGCTGCCATGCAGTGCTTTACACAGTTTTGCATCCGTTCTGATCATTGTTTTTTTCCTTCAACCCCCCAAGATCACGGTGACCGGCTACAAGAACATCGCCAACGGCTGCTCCAACATTCAGTCGCTCTGCGTCAACGACTGCCCCACCCTCAAGGACGACAGCATCCTGGCCATTGCCGCCAAGTGCCACAACATTCGCAGCATCTCCTTCCTGTCCTCCCCCAACATCACCGACGCCTCCTTCAAGGCCATCGCGCAGCACCGCCGACTGCAGAAGATACGCGTTGAAGGTACCGTGAAGCTTTTGATTTTGACTTATTCAAGCATAGCCAGTGTCGGGGATTTTGTGGCATTGAGCAGTCAAGATTTGACAGAATTTGAGAAAATTGGATTCTTTCCATCTAGGAATGTCCAAGCTGAGCGATGCATCCTTCAAGTACATTGGTCGGTACTGCTCCGACCTGAGACATGTCTATGTGGTGGACTGCCCCCGCGTAACCGACGCCAGCCTAAAGTCGTTGGCACAGTGCCGCAACATCAACGTGCTAAATGTGGCAGATTGCATCAGGTACGTAGGATGGAAAGATATAGTTGCCACATAAGAAAGCCAGCCCTTTTTAGAAGTCCCATAAGATCAAACTCTTGGTCTCGCAGTTGTTTGATGGCTGTCAAGACTGAAGAGTCCTGGCATGGGTCTTGGTGTCTCTGATTTATTTTGCTTTCCTCAAATAAAAGGAACACGCGATTGATTGTTCCATAATATGGAAGTTCAGCAGACTCGTGGAAACTGTAAAGAGTACCAAAGTGAATATGTCATGTCTGTGTACAGTTTTATGTGTAAAAGGCATAAGTGCGAAAACCATCGCGCCAACCAACACGTGCACGTACTCCATTCATTTGCACGTACACTATACACTTCCTGGTTCAAATGATGTCACGCTTCGGCGCTCTATTAAACACACATGAGTTTAAAGCCCTGTAGGATAGTTGGCTGTGGACTTTGGCATTCCAGCCATTAAGTATGTGCACATTAAGGCTTTGACATAAATCACTTGAGGAACATTAACACAGCTGTTAGTTGTAAACAAGTCAAAGGGGGTGCAGAGTTTACTTCCAAAATGCGATAAGCGCCATTTTGGTATGTTTCAGAATCCCGCCCCCTCTCTGTTGTCTGCAGTCAGTTTCTACTGATTTAAGACAGTTGAACACAACTTTACCAAATTAAAATCATGAAAAAGAAGTTTAGAGACACATGACATGCTGCTAAAGCTCTTCAATTTTTCATAATAGTGAAACAAATTCCATTTTCTTAAAATGGATATGTCTCTTTTTGGAAATAAACCCTTCAAGTCAAAGGGGGGAGGTATTAAAAACAATTAATAATGTGCCATCTGGAATTTCCCATACAGTCAGAAAGAACATGAAAAGTGGTTCACGTGATTTTAACCACTGTCTGTTACACAGATACCAGGAGCTCATGTAACAATAAGCTTGTTGCCTGCTGTGCTGTGGGTCGTTGCATTTTTCACACCCTCAGTGTGCATGTGTATGTGGTACGTTCGGCATCATCCCCGATGCTGTGCAGTCCTGGGTGTTGAAAATGCCATGTTCCACATCAAAGTGGTCAGCAATTGGTAATTTTGTCCAAACTCCAGGATCAGTGATAACGGGGTGCGTAGCCTGGTGGAGGGACCCTCAGGACCCAAGATCCGAGAGATGAACCTGACCAACTGTGTACGAGTCAGCGACGTATCCATCCTGAAAATCATGCAGAAGTGAGCAGTTTGAAAGGTTCCGTCTGAGAATGAGGCAGGGTCCACATCTAATGTGTAGAGATATAGGTCTTCATTGGTTGCAAATACCAGCCGGTATAGTTGTGCATATGGAGGCAATTTCGGAAATGTCCCCAAAACATTACAGAAATCTTGACTTGGGTGGGAAGGAAAACCTCAAAATCGTTTGTAAAGAAAACCCATGTAATGAACTTAATCCTACCCCCTTGTAGCCGGTGGGATATGAACCCGAGTCAGCACACTAGGAGGGAGGGCAGGCACAAACATGAAAGCTTGAGAGACGTAATTTCTTACTCCAAACCTTCTTCCTGGGTCATTCTTTCAGTGTTGGAATTCTAATGTCCCTGCTGGAGCTATATCATAAGCAAGTGCAAAGTATTTTCTTTTAAGTCCATTTTTTTGTGCTAGGCTCTGAAATGAAAGCCTTTGAAATGCCGTTCCTGTTTTTTTCCTTAAGAAGTTTGGAACGTCGCCTGGGTACAATATTAGTTCTTTTGCCTGTAAACAATATCTTTCTTTTCAAGTTGAGATGATGTGATCATGACCTGTCCCCATTATGCAGGTGCTATAGTCTGGTGTACGGCACCTTCTGCTTCAGTGAACACATCACAGACGGCGGGGCCGAGATGCTTGGCAACCTGCCAGCCCTGTCATCCCTGGACGTGTCTGGATGCAGCATCACTGACACTGTGAGTATATATATGGGTCAGGGAGGTCAGAGGTCAAGTTATATATGTCCCATCTTGTGTTGGTCATAAAGTGTGTCAAATCATTTCAGATTTCTGTAACATGACACACCATGTGTATACATTCCTTTTCCCCAAATTATTCCATTCCTAATTTCATGCTCAAGAACTATACTTAATCCTCTGCATTTTGGATCAGTTTTGTAGCATTCGTCTGCAGGTGTATGCCGGACCAAGGCATTTTGCCACTAATCGCTCCATTCCACCTTGGAATAAATGGCCAGATAATGTGGTCTGTCCTCGATTTAGCTGCATGAAGTGGCAAGATGCAGCAGAATCCACTCCATTGACGAGGACTTTCTTTCTGATCACCAATAGAGGCCTAGAACCCTGTATCCTAATTTTATTGGCACTGTGCACCCAGTATCCACTTAATTACATTAGATATTGGCATAATTACTGTGTGCAAACAATCATGCATGAGGACTAGTATGTTGCTTTGAAGGCGATCACTTGGTCAAAGAGCTCTGAGCTTATTCAAAAAAAGCTAAGATAGTTTTAGCCATTCACACCTGTTTAAGCACAAAATTTGCTTAAGCGCAAAAAACCCGTGCTTAAAAAACAAAGGTTACCTGCTTAAAATATATATGATTGTCATGTTAACTAAACAATAGGTGAATAACGTTCCAAAGCAACATACATCACATGGAGTTTGGGCTGGTAACCTGATTTGTCAAGCAAGGTTTTTTTCACTCTTAAGCAAGTTTTGTGCTTAAGCAGCTCTATGAAATCGGCCCCTGGAACCTGCATCCTGTGAAACCAAGATGGTGTTTAGAGATGGTTATGGGTACCGAAGAAAATACGCTACGCACACAGCCATTCGCGGGTGAACCAACGTGCGTGCACACTCCGTTGTTTGCACCACATCACAGGCCCACCGACAGTTCTCTGCAGGAACAAGAGATGGTTTTTTGTACATAGCAGCAACATCCCAGTCGATGGGAACTCACAACGTACACTCACAGACCCTTGCGCACTTGGTGTCAGATCCGCCAAGCGAGTGCGACCAATTACTGCTGAAAGTCTCGGCATTCACGCCAAGCACACACACACTAGCCCCCCCGAAAGACTTCCCCCAAGCCTGTCTCTTTGCTGGCGAGGGGGCGCTTCAAGACCGAGGGGATAGCGAGCATGGGTATAGGTGCACTTCACACACACACCCCGCCGTATTGTTATTGCAACACAGGGTCTGGGAGCCTTGGGCAACAACCCCCACCTGCGGGATGTGACGCTGTCGGAGTGCTACCAGATCACCGACCTCGGGGTGCAGAAGTTCGCCCAGCAGTGCAAGGACCTTGAACGACTGGACCTGTCCCACTGCACCCAGCTGACGGACGGAGCCATCAAGAACCTGGCCTTTTGCTGCCGGAGGCTGACCGTGCTCAACATAGCTGGCTGCAAACATGTAAGTAGGAGAGAGGGGAATTTATTGGGGGAGACTGTTTAGCCCTAAACTGGGTTGGACAGCTTCAAAGTTTCTTCATTATTGTCGTAGATCATTTTGGTACCATGTCGACCCTTTGGGAGTTCTGTTACTGATGACTTGTCACTTAAACAGCAATTTTATGAACATTTGATTTGAGGTAGGGTAGGCCATAACTTAGAAAGATGTTCATTGGCATGTTCTCTATTTCATGGGTTGAAGAACTTGAAAGATTGAACTGTAACTGACCATCATAACAAACCCATATGTGAGATTGAATTGAAACATCACAGATGTACTCATGGATGTCTTGACATGCACGCTAAATTTCAAAAGATCGCTCCTAGGGCAGTCAAGAGCCCTCGCCTGAGGCTGTCAGAAGGTCTGAAAACTCGACTCTTTTTGGAATTAAATGTAACAGTGCCCTGTGGTACATACAAACACCAAAAGGGTTTTAAGTGGCCATGAGCAACATGCAGGGTGATTGCATGCCAACACAAGCAGACGGAGGCAATCCAAATCAGCCGACACCAATGGCAGGGTTGACGTAGACCCTGTCTCAAACCCTCTCTCAAGAAACACAGCTGGCAGGATGAAGATTGACAAAGATATGCTTTCGTCACAATTGGCTTGAGTAGCTTGTGATTCGACTGGAGACTGGATAACTTGTGACTGGTTTGAGATGGACTTGCTACGACTTACAGGGAGTTAGGATGGACTTGGCTATGACAGACCAGTTGGTTTTCGCTACTCGTGCAAGACTGTAAAACATCATCAGAGAACTTCACAACCATCCCTGTGCTGGTCCTGAATCATTGCCTCCACCAGTCCGACCCTTGTCGCCACCAAGCATCCAAAATGCACGCTCCTGACCAAATTTGCTCATTAAAGTGCACCTCTCGTGACAGCTTGTACACTTTCTTACTGCCACCATGTACAGTTGACGGATCTGAGCATCCAGTACCTGTCCGGGGTCTGTCACTACCTCATCAGCTTGGACATCTCGGGCTGCGTCAACGTCAGCGACAAGTCCATCCGGTACCTGCGTAAGGGCTGCAAGCGGTTGCGGGTCCTCCTCATGCTATACTGCAAGCACATATCCAAGTAAGTCTGACAGGTGCAGATTGCTGAATGCATCAGGAGATCCTGGCCTAGCTGGTTTGTCATCCTCAGCAGCTTACAATTGGAAAAAGAGTCAGTGGGCATTAGGCCAAGATCAAATTCAAAGCTACACTTTTGGTGTGGAGGTCAAGAAATGAGAAATGCTGTATATACATTTTGTGGCATTTTTCTGAGGGGGTTGAGTAAATTTAGGGGATTTTTACACTCTTTGGGGAGCAAGGTAAATAAATTGGTTGACCAAAAAGCCACCCTCCTCACATTAGTGTGAAAAACAAGGGATAAGAGTCGTCTCTCTTTCAGGGACCCTAACCTGTCCCCCCTTCCCCCAGTAGACTAAACCCATCGGTGCACTCTGATGGTGCATTGCATGGTGTTGCAAAGCTCACCTGTGATCACTCAAAGTGTCGCAAGCTTTGGAAAACAGTTTTTAGAAAAATGGCAAAAACACCGGTGAAAGCAGCAAGGCTTACAGGCACAGAGATCAGCTGGACCATGCTGCATTGGACTGTCAACAAAAAGTAACATAAATTGCCCAATGAGAGATATCTAGACTGGTGACTTCGTATGCAACTGTAATTCACCTGCTCCAGAAAAGCTTTTAATTATCACCCGTCAGTGGGAATTTGGCATTCTCACTGTCTGCAACTATAAGCTACATCAAACTTCTTTTCCATTTCACGTCAAGCGACAACTATCTTTTTCCAGGGCATCCTACGCCAAGCTGGCCGCCAAAATCGAAACGGTCAGTTGGAGCGACGACCCGATACCCAGCAGCTTCGGTCCCGGCTTCGACTACCTGGCAGCCCTGCAGAAGGCGGAAGCCGACAAGAAGAAGAAGGAAAAGGAAAGAGAGAAGGAGAAAGGAAAAGAGAAAGCCAAAGAGAACGAGGAGGCAGACCTGAACGAGAGGAGCAAAGACGAGGATAAGGTAAGGATGGGAATGGACAGGTGATTTGGTTCATGTTCAGCCAAACTCCCTCACAAACTGTGAAACCTTCAGCCTACCAATTTGATGATCGTGTACGTATAGGAGATGCCTTGAACACCGATCTCTGCCAAACAGCATATTGAAAACGTCACGCCCAACAAACTGTGGTATGGAATAGATGCAGGGACAACCAGGGAAAACTGCATGACTAAAAACAATCTGAAATAAACTAAGGCGCACTTAATGCTTTGAAAACAAAATACACGTACAGTGAACTCCGACTAAGTCGGCATCGTGTAACTCATCAGATCATCTAAGTCGGCCGTTTGACAAAAGTCCCAATCGTCTGTAACGCATTTCCATTGAAAATTTCATTTCTAAGTCGGCATTTATAGGTCGTTATTTCGTCTAAGTTGGCATGTTTTTCTCGGTCCTTTTTCCACAAAACCGCAAAATTTTTTGTGTAAGTCGGCATTAAAAAAAGTCATGCTTCGGTATCAGTTTCCCTTGGCACAGTTGCCAAGAAGTGTCAAGTGGCAAGTCCCATGCGCATGCGGCCAGTGCGAGTACATCTATACCAGTAACCCCTCAAGTGCTACACGCATGCGCTCTGTCCATTTTGGGGGTCGTCTTATTGAACATAGTCTGGTTCCCTGCCCAAAGATTCCCTGACGACCCTTGATGATGATTCATCAGGAAGTCAGAATCATCGGGTCTGGTGTCCAGACTATATTGAACAAACCAATGCACTTGTGTGGATGAGTGTATGTTTTCTGTACCGTAACTGTATCATGTATATGTACATACGTACTGCACCGTTGAGTCGTGACGTGATATGCACATGGCTTGCCATCCTTGCTTCGTCCTTAGAGGCACATAATCAATTATCGAATTTGCAGCCCGTGAGGATAATAATCGAGAACAAATTTGTTGGGATTGACCATGGAGGTAGAAATAAACCAGGGTAAATCAAAGCCATTGAATTAGTGTAAGGAATCATAATGTACATGTGTACGTGTAAGTCGGCAAAATGACAACTTACAACACAAGTCAGCATTCGCGTAAGTCGTCATAATTTCTTGAGTCCCGAGAGTGCCCACTTAGCCGGAGTTTACTGTACTTGGCATGCATTGTGTCTGTGCAGAATAAAACTGGAGGGAAGATGGTATGAGTACAGAGATTTAAGTTTTTGTAAGGTGGGATCAGTTAAAATGCTTGAATCGGAACATTGTCCTGCAGAGCTGTTTTCATTCATACACACAGACGTCATCGCTTCAGGACAAGATGAGCAGGATCTTTGAGTCCCAGCCCAAGGTGTCGGAGGCAGACTTAAAGGAGTATGAGGCCAGCATCAAGATTTCTTACTCCACCACGGATGCGGACGGCAAGAAGAATGCGGAAGGCGAGAAATCTGTTGGTGGGGAGGAATTTGAAGATAGGGTGACGCCCGATGCTGAGACACCTGAAGAGGGCGTGCATGATCCGGCCCAAAATGGCACAGGTGATAGGGTTACTGATCTGCCCACTGCAGATGAGCAAACTCCACCCACCGATCAATGAAGTTGGCACTCTCAAGACGACCAGTTGCAACATGCTACGTTGGTGTGTAGGAACTAGACACGGGTCTTAATGTTGTACTCCATTATGTTTATATACATGTAGATTAAAACAGAAACATTGACACAGGCTGTGGCTTCAAATAGCACATTTGCTTATGGAATCCACTTGCCACAGCCAGTAGATTTTCACATGGCCAGGTTCCTCAATACAATTTGTACTTGCCATGAGTGACTGTTGTCATCCCTGACTTGGTTCCAGTGTTCATGTTTTTGCATTGATTTCTGTACTGGTCAAAACTCTGTCAACATGGGAAAAACTCTCAACTTAAAGAAACCACAAATGAGGAAATCCCCCCCATGATATGCATATACACTTCTTATTTCATTGCAGCGCACTAATCATACTTCACAATTTTCAAAAAATGGCCCAATTTGCAGTAGTGAGTCTAAAGTGGTGATCTTGTATTATTGAGAAATTCTACCCAAACACCTGTTGCGCATAAGAAGTAACTCTATTTCTATTGCAGCATTTACGTTGTATTTTAATCTTTTCAAACTCTGTGTAAGCTCCAATATGCAGTAGTAAATTCGAAGCAACTGATCTCATATCGTGAGACTTTACCCAAACCCCTCTTGAGTATTTTCCGCATCACAATCCCTTCCATTATCCTTACACAAAACTCTACACCACCACCAAAACAAGACATCAAGAAAAAGCACTACGCAAATCATCCAAATACCCTTTGACATAACCACTTAAAAAGATATTTCTATATACAGCAAACTAAACAGGACTATATTATGTACAGTGTCATGTGGCTTGCAAAAGTACAGCACAATAGCAGCAGTTCTGCTGCAAAAAAGCTAGTTTCCACCTGAAAGAAAAAAACTAGAGGGCTGTATGAATTAATGACTCGTCATGTGGCATCCCCTCCTAATTATAAATTACCATACACAATCTATTGTGCAGTAAAATTCAATGCGTTAGCCTCATGTTGAGAATGGCAAATGTACACTAAATACAACTAAGGTAGTACAAACAGTGCTTGTTACTTGCTCCATAATGTCAGCGTTGCGTGTGCTAATCTGAATGCAAAGCCAGTGGCTATATATAAAGGATGCCCTCTTAAATCAGGACAGCTGCAGGCGGCGAACGCTGAGGCTCAGCAAGTGGCACTTCCATCAAATGTCACGCATAACTAAAAGTTATTAAGCAGATTTCAGCAGAGTGCCAGCGCCAGGAATGTTAATATATATCAGTGACCTATTTGGCCAGAAACACGGAAAAACTTGCATACCAAGCAAATCTGTGCAAAACGCTGCTAAGCAACTTGGAAAGATTGCTTTAAGATTTGCAAAGCATTTTCACGGGTGCCCAAGTTTCAGGCATCAATTGCATTAATAGAAAAATTATAAAATGTATACATACTCATGATTTAAATAAGCACTTCTGAATAAATTTCTTTTAAACTGTTCATAAAAACTGTAAGATAAAAGCTGTGTTATAATTTTGTACATAATACAGGCTATTTGTAAAGAGTTCTTGAAAGTGGAATGATGTACGTGCTGTATATAGAGCAGAAAATGACTTGATTTATTTATATACCTTTCTAGATGAAATGCAGTGACTGCTGTTTTGTGAATAAATGAACGTCATGAAAACATCTTACTTGAGCCTGAATCCACTTAATTTTGTGAGTTTTCCCAAAGTCTACATATACAATAGTTCTTCATTGAGATAGATTCAAACTTGGTCTAAATAAAAGCAAGCTTTGTGTCGTTAACTGTCAAACCACAGTCTTTTGCACCCAGCGTAACCAAGGCTACCCCTTTTTAAAATATATCCTCAAAAATTAGTTCAGTTCATTAGATCCCATTCAATAAAGGGGAGAATGCAAAACGAAACACGTGGTGACTCAAGGTTTACCTCAAAGAGGTTGTTTTGGGATACCTAGGGGTAAAACCTCGAGTTACTGCAATCTTACCTAATGTGATTGTTATTCTTATAAAATGTAACAACCACAAAACATCTCCCCAGAATGACTTGGGAATGGAAATGCTAACGAAAGTCAATGGCCTATGATTGGTGGTTATGAAAGATTCTAAATTAGGAATACACGTAATAGTTGATAACATAATGATATTTGGGTACACTCACTCGTGTGATAGTGTAAGATAAAAGGAATCGACCGCTTCTAGTAATGCAGATTTCCATACATTTTGACAAACTCCAACAAATTGACAAGAATTACAAGAAATTATTGATCACCATTAATTCTGTCGGAAGAACTCACCCAGGGTATGAAGACGTCCCCCAATTACAAGCTACAATTCATTTCATTAAAAAATTGTTTGAAGGAGGAGCAAGTTGCACCACAAACCAAGAGTCAGGGAGCACGTCGGCTTCCACCTTGCTGCGCCTCAAAATGCCGAGAGCATCGCCAGAAGCCTCCTGGCCTGCTGTTCCACGTTGGTGTTGCCATGGTGCACCAGCGTCTCCACTGCAACCTTCAGCTCGTCCGCGCCCCCGATGAGAAGGTCACGGAAGCTGGACCCTCGGGAGGCATTCGTTACCTGGGAATTCCCCCCGACTGATGCGAGAGGCGAACTTCTCAGGTTGATGAGAAAGGACAGCATTCTGAGGAGAGATTCCGGGGTGTGATGTGGCTCCAACTGAGTTGTAAAATCACCAGGAACCTGAGCAGACGAATAAGGAGAAGACACCGTGAGTTAATACTGTTCCAACGGTGAATCATGCCCCCCTGGGTAGCTAAACCATCTGTAGCACTTCTAAAGAACAACAAAAAATGTTTTGTCCTTAATTATCTGGAAATTCGTTGCTTCAGTTCATCAGCATGTATTAAGATGACCATCTACATGCATACACCTCCCCTAAAAAGCGTAAGCACTGACAGTTTTGAAGGGGCAGAGTTGCTGTGCCCCATTGTTCTTAATTGCAGGTAGGAAGTTATTGAGAGCATAAGCTGACGTGAGAGAGGACTTCCCATCAAAACCTTTTGCTCATTTGTGAAGTTAGCTTTTTCTGATCACTGCAAGTTGGTTGTGAAATTATGGAAGGTGTTAAAAGCAAGTAGAAGTGTAATGTAAGTAACATGAAACATTTCGGGACCCATTATGAATAGATTAACGATTGAAAATCCAACTTTTTGTCAGAAAAATACCTGGAAGCCAAGCAATGTTGGCACCACTGTTTCATCAGCCGACAAGTTGACCAGCACTCGCAGGGCCTGCTGGCCAAGGGACGTTGAACCGTCCCCAATGAGTGCAAAGAGGCTGTGCAGGGCTCCCGGGTAGCTGAAGAGCTCCCCACACTGACCACTGACCGACAAGTTGACCAGGGCTTGGATGCTGGCCAGCCGGAGGCCCTTGGTGTGAAGAGGGTCAGTGCTTAGGGCAAGGAGTGTTGGAATACAACACTAGAGAATGGGGATGAGGAAAAAAACAGGTCATACTGTGTATGGCTTCGGCAACACCAATTGATGTTTTGATCCATAGACAAATGATTTGGCTGTCAATTTTCTCACATGAAATGTCCAATAGTGGTGTCAAAAGTTGTCCTATGCTTCCAATTTTGTGGCATACAGTTGGCCAAACGAGCCTGAGTTTCATGAACATTTTAGAGCTCTTTCCAAAAAGTAAAACAGCACACCAGCTAAAAATTGAGTGACAAATCTCAAAAGATGTGGTTGCTATGCAGTGGATGCGGTTGCTATGCTGACGATTCTTCAGATGGCTCTAGATACTAACTTGGGCATTAACGATTTGCCCTTACTGCATGAACCAACAACAATTCACCCTAACTGCATGAACCGACACATACCACACTTGACCTTTAAAGTCCCAGCATTCACGTCCGCTTCCAATCATGCTGATGTCTTTACCTTGAGTACAGGCTGATTGTGGTTATTAAGAGCGAGGTTGGCAATGCAGGTGGCAGCACAGGTTCTCACACGGTCAGAGTCTCTCTCCAGCAGTCTCATTATGACTGGCAGTCCACCGGCAAATCGCACTGCATTCTGGCCAGGGGGAGGCCAAGAATCAGACATGTTACGTGTAACTTGAAGGAGTAACACATCCCTTGTAATTTGTACCAAATTACCACTGGTAAGGTACCGATGATTATTAAAGTCTCTACTCAGGCAACGACGGACTAATTGGAAGTAAGTGTAAAGACAAGACTACTCCCAATAATCGTAATTACCGTGGTGCAGCACTTCTCCAAGTGACCTTCCTTAATCCAAAATATACTACTGTGCAGGAATCCCATAACATTGCTCCTTTGAGTCCAGTGGATATAATTAGTAGCTTTTCTGTATTTCCATCAAATCATGCAGAACTTCAAAGCCAGATCTGAAGGCATTTAGGAGGGCTTGGGTTGAAATAGGTTTCACAAGTCCCAAGCATTTGATCTCAAAAATACATTCCAGTAATATTCAAGAAGTTGTTTCTCCCTTTTGACCTGGAACACTGATTTGGAAGGGATACTACATGACAATATGTCTGGATGCATGCCCTAGCCTTTGCTATGACTGCCATGCTCACCTGCTCTTCGGTGAATGCTGCTTTGTTGGCGACAGTTGTCAGCACTTTGCACAGTTGGCTCTCATCATCTGACTCAAGCAACAGGATCAAGCTGATTATTGAGTTATCTCTCTCATGTCTCTCGGCATGGTAGCTCGCTAACGCCTGGAATACCTCCCTCTGGTAGTCAGCTTCCTCTAAAGCATGACAGATTACAGATGCCAGATTAAAATGACATGTGACTTGAACTGGAACAGCTTATTTCAAATTGCACACGTATCCCGTGATATATCATTTTTCAACCCAACGACTTCCAAGATTGCAGATGGATTTTTCTGGACTCCCTTACTAAAGAAGTACTAGCTCCTCTCAGTTCATCAAACCAGTTTTAGATTTGCATTTGTAGCTAGACAGAAACAAATTAGAAGTCAAGATGGCTATAAATTTAACCACAAGAAAGGAAGCAGACTAGGATAATGATGGATGGAGCAAAATGTACCAGCTGCTCTCTCTGTTTAACATCCACCACAACAAAATGCTTATAGGCCACAATAGAATGCTAGCACAGAGCATACATGTACATCATCATGGTGTGCCAATGTAAATTAAGTGACATTGAAAGTATGAAATGTCTGCTCATGTACATCATGCAGGAACAGTAGGCCTAGCCCCATCCCCTCCAATGGTGCACCATGGGAGCGATTAGACTCTCTCCTGTTGGAACTATCAAAAGATACTGCATGCTTTTTGTCACTGAAACTATTTCACTCCATCAAAACAATATCAAGCCCACGTCCTGAGTCTAAACTTATATTCAAAGTGTTTCTGTACACTTTAGCAAACCCGTTGCCTCCATTTCAACCAGGGCAACACAGTTTTCTATGGTCAAAATGGCTTTGACTGAAGTCTTGTTCTTTGCTTGCAGACCAGAGTAGGAAAGTGAATACATCACACGTGCACCACACACATGACACACTCTTCTCAAATCGAAATAAAATACTCAAACCCCATGCCCCGCCTGGAGATTGCATTGAATCTGATTTCATTGTTCTCCTCAATCAGTGAGGACTCCTTGCAACACAAAAAAGGCCTACATGTCATAACATATGACATCACCGGACATCATGGAGCTATAGCTCCATGCGGACATGTAGGTATCTGCATGACCGGAAACTGGGCAGAGACACGAATAAATTATTTCACCTGTTGTGCTGTCAAGATATTGACTTGAAGTAGGTTTATCTGGAGACAGTGCTTTCGACGGTTTCCTCCTGAAAATGTGTCTAGATCTATAATACAGATAAAAAGTCCCAGCAACCACAACAGCGAAAGTTGTTGCCCCGATTATTACTCGCGGTAGAAAACTCATAGGCGCAGCCATCTTGCGAATCATCAGGCTCTTTCGGATAGTGCTGATTAGTTGACAAACTGTTCAAAAAATATGCAAATTCAAACTAATACTTATATGGTAGATTAAATTGTATACATTCGAAGTTTAAAATTGTATTTTTGAAGCAAAAAACAGGAAAATTTAATCATCAAAAAGCAGTAATATTGAAATTAATTTGTTATGCTTTCCAAAACTGACGCCCTCAACGTTTCCCATTTCCAAAGTTGGAAAGTTGAGGTCCGGTCCAATCGTAGGCCTATATTTAGTACAGTACTGTTGAGCTGAGAGATGCATGCTCGAACCCCGGACTGTCCTCTTTCATGTCTTTAACGTAGTTGCTGTTGAGTGTATTGAAGAATTAAATTTACAATGCCTATGAAAGGCCGTTTTCCGCTGAGGCGGACGTTGAGATACCTCGAACAGGGTAAAGTCCACCTGAAGGACGCCGTCAAAATTTTGACGATTAATTACAAAACTCATGGAAAATTTAGCCAAGGAACAAGGTAGGCAATGGAATGTTAGCAATAGCAATTAGCGTGCATGACTGGCATTGACCAGGCAGGGCTCAGCATTAAACAGGGTAATGTTTGTCGTACGTTTCTTCAATGAAATCTTTCAATCTCAGGGTTTTTTTTGGGGGGGGCATTAAAGGCTTTGTCATATTTGAATTAATGTGTTTGTTTGTTTGTTTGTTTGTTTGTTTGTTTGTTTGTTTGTTTGTTTGTTTGGGCTTAAAGTTTAATGTAATTTTATATATCTTAATCCATTCCCCAGACTGGGGCTCGTCCCATCCCACGGGGTACGATTCGTCGTATGTGTGGTGTGGCCTGTGGCATGGTGTGGGAGCATGGTGGCCATTGAACCCCACAGTTGTAGGGGTAGGATTCATCGTATGTGTGGTGTGGCCTGTGGCATGGTGTGGGAGCATGGTGGCCATTGAACCCCACAGTTCTGGCATGTCTGGGGCTGTTAGCATTCCAGCAGTTCTCCTCTGCTCATTTTTTTTCACTCATTTTTAGGCCATTTGAATAAATTTTTATATTTCATAGCACATTACTCATACTGGAACAAAATTGGTTGGGATGGGCATGGAGGTAGGAATTTGTGTTTTACACAATATGTATATGAAATTGACTTCTCATCCAAAGAAAGTGCACTGAGGACCATATCATTGTGTTGCCTAGAGCTGGGTTGTATAAAATACCACATCAACCCATCATGGTTCCCAACTGCAGTCACTGCATGGTTCCTGACTGAACGTCTTGTGTAATTATCATGATGAATACTTACATGTACATGTAAGTGGCAAGCCTCAACAGCTACGGCACACTCTGAGCATGCATCACATATCAGTAAGCTAGCTTTAAGTAAGATTTGAAGATTTGAATGTTAAAGCTAGCTTTAAGTTCTACCACACAAAACATTTCGCTTAGGTTGCTTTGCTGTGTGAAGTCAAGTCAACATGACTGCCTCTTGATATAGCATGTATGGTGAGAAATTTGTTAGGAAACTAAAGTTTTGGTTGAGAAAACAATGCACTTAGAAAATAAAAAATTAAAACTTGGGGTCGAGGGTGATGGGAATCTTAATATTAATTTTGAAATGGTCTTACTTCTCATAGCATGTTTATTGCTCACCCAAAGCTTTGCAGAATGTCAATCTGTATTTCTCACATTTCAGCAGTTGAAGAGCTGTTGAGTTCTGTAATTTCATAACAGATGAGATATTCGACGAAACCAAGCATAAAGTGGTGGATATTTGACCAGTTCACGGTCCTGATAAATGATATGCTTTTTTTGTGTGTGTCAGTATGGCAACTGAAGATGCACAGTGTTTCTTTATATTTTGCAATTTTGTCCTTTTTGGAAGGATAGAAAAAAACTTCAAAAAGGCCTATGCTAGGTCTCGAACCCGGATCTCCGAATCTTTAGCTACATGTATGTGCCGCAACCGCTTGACCACTCAGTTATGAACGGTGAATTTGTAATTTTAATGTAGTTTCATAACCTCATGCCAGCATTAAATAAAGTGCAACAAGATTTCTGGAAAACATGCATCGTGTAAAAGTAAGGTTTACCCAGTGTTCAGTAAAATTTCAGTAAAAGGCCAGCAAAAGTCATTATTCTTTGAACACATAATTGTGAAATCTAAAAGCTTAGGCCTACCTCTGTCATGTTTCTTTGCACACAGAGACTTTGTCTTCTATAATTTGCCGCAGCTGCAGTACAAGAATCCATTCGTTCAGATGCAGACCTTCCAGAATATTACACCTTCACCTTTTATCCGATGTTTCTTGGGTAAGAATGACCATGACCACATTTGATTTGACAAAGGTAGAGGACTATAAGTCTTGTCACAAGATCTTATGAGATTTTATGGGTACACGACACGCTGCTTGCTACAATAACGAGGTTAATTGATGTCAACACCTGATCTTATGCTTTGAACCAGAAGTTAGTCAAGAACACACTTAAATGTGCAGGTAATGGCCAGTAATTTGTAGTATTGTTGAGTAGGAGTTTCCCAAGATGACTGAAATTGAAAATTTAAGGGAGGACAAAATTGGACAGAATCTCACTATGAGCAAGAACGCTGAGTAATAACAGTTTTGGAGCTTTTGGTGCATGTCACCTGACATCTGTTGATCATTCAAAGGTGCCGATATATTGTCATCAGTAGATCATAGTGTTGTAATACCAGATCTGAGTTTTGTGTTTGTTGCTAACTCTTATAAGGATTGTTTCAAACTATATGTGGTGTTTTGGCAATTGCATTTGAAAGCATGGAAATGGCATTTTTCATGGTCAATCTCTTACATATGTCAGAGAAAAATTTAACAGATTTTACATTCATTTTCAGATGATGGAGATGAGGTCCTAATTGACACAGATAGCAAGAGCAACTTGGAGATCTTGGACCACCTGAATAAAGTGTTGGGTAAATCAGAGTAAGTCAAAATACTGAGGACATGGGAGAAAAAAGAGATTTGCTCCATACCAGTACATTTCACAATTCTGGTTTGGCAGTACTGTCACAGAACTTGGGATCTTGGCCTTGTTGTGGTGGAGTTCAACACAAGTCAAAGGAGTATTCTTTGCCTAACTGTGACAACACTGTCCATCAGAGCACATACTGATCGAGGCATAAAACCTGGCTCAAGAACACAAACTGGTTCAGTCCTCTATGCGAGTGGGCTAGTGTAATAAAAATGGATAGAGCATGAGCAGTGGCAATAGCAGTTGTCATGGTTCATGTACCCGTGTATGCTAGCTTGTAGCTTGCGTTGATGAGATAGGCATGTGAGGAATTCTTTTTGTACATTTGTCTTTTGTACTGTTGGGTTGGGTTGGGTTTGGGTTGGGTTGGGTTGGGTTTGGGTTGGAGTTGGGGTTGGGTTGGAGTTGGGGTTGGGTTGGGTTGGGTGGTTTACCTCTACAAAGATCTGCTTGGATAGAAACCTCAGGCCCTCTAATGTATTACCAGCAAGCAGTTTGTAGCAGGTTTTGTACCTTTAATTGATACATTTGTGAGGTTTTTGTGATGGGCATCACCGCAACAGTGGATTATGTTATCTTGGGTTGAGTTTGGTCAAGCGGAGTAGAAAATATGAGACAGCTTGATCTATCTGCCTCAGTTTGTGGGATTATGCAGGCTACACACTTTGTTGTTGTTGAAACCATGTTCTTTTTTGGCAGATTGTGTAAAGAAAACCAGCAGGGAACCAGGGTTGACAGATTGAAAATATACCTCTGTATTGTTCCCCCTTCCCTTTTTTGTGTCTTCATCAGGGAGGTCTTGGAGAGAGAACGCAGGGCACAGGAGCGAGAGTCCAACCCCGCTCACTTTGGATTCGGCCACCGCAGGAGGTGCATATGCCAGATTCCCGGCCAGGTGCCCTGCCCAGGATTGGTTCCTCTCCCCCAGGAGCTGCGGGGCAAGTACCGTGACATGAAAGCGGACAGTCTCAAGCCGCCCAGGGGCGTGCGGCCCGATTCGTAGCAGGAAGATGCCAAGACCCGATAAGATGCCTGATGGCAGACGCTTTCAGGAATGGAGTAGTATTGGAACAGAAAGTGCAGGGTCTGCCAGCCTTGCGTCTGTCCCGTGTACATGTGTGTGACAAGTGGGCAGAGGTCTGACGGCCAACAGGTGCTATAGAGGGGAGGACTTTGACTGGCTGGAGCTTCAAAGTTGGAGATAATTACTGCATTCAAAGTTGACTTACTTCATTGTTTCTTCCCTCCTGCATCAAAAAAAAAAAGACTTATCGCCTTCCACCTGTGAGAAACACCTGCAGCATGAAATTAGAATTGAACCTACACGTACAAGTACCAGTCTTTCTGTGCACTACACAGTTTGTATTAACCCTAACAGTACCGGGCGTTGTTTGGCTTAGAGTACTTAGTACTACAAAATACTAAGTAACACTATGAGCCTGAAGGACCTAGCGCTACAAATTACTATTTCTGGTTAGGTTTATTCCATTGTTACTCGTACAGAGAACAATGAAACCATGCATTCATAGTGCCACAGCATTGTATGGTACATTGTCTTCTTGATTGTATTTTATGGCTTCAGAGAATAATAATGTCATGTCCTCTTACAAGCGACAAGGCTGAGTACTACATTTTACTACTAAGCAGTACTTTGTAGCATTCGGGACTGTTAGGGTTAAACATGCTCCCCCCACCCCTCTGAAAAATGTGTCAGACAGCATTTTTTATCCTAGAAACGAGACTGACTTTCACCCCCCTATGCTCGCTTATGTTTTAGAACACAACTGGCCGATGACCTTTGATTTCTTCTGTGATTTGTTTTTCATTTGGTGATACCAAGTCTTCTTACATCTTTTGAATTTTGCTCAGCATGAAAAATCTGCTAAGTGGCATTTCCCAAGCACTTTCGTGAAATTTCCATTTTCATTGGTTAGTAAATTTCCATGTCATATTTTATGACCATGTTTATGTCTTGTACAATAAAATAAAATGTGGACGTGTCTTTTTGTTGTTGAATTATTAGTTTTTGTTTCTGTTTTCTTTTTTTGGGGGGGTTTCTCTTTAACTTGCATGCAGCAAGAAATGTTTATTGAAGAATGTTCAAATACATGTACACTCCAGCCCACTCATTCATACCTTGACCCAGGGTCAGTGCTCTTTTTAAGTTAAGCTTTGATACTGAAATCGTTGATCATTTTTGACTGCGCACAAGTAGGAGCGACCACACAATCTAGGCCAGTTACATGTATGGAGGAAATTAACAAGAGCTAGAATTGAGTCCAAGATATTTATTAATACTTTGACATTTTCAACGTCCTTTTCTTTTTATACAAAAATTACAGAAAACCCTCGGATTCTCCCCCGATGAAAAAAAGAAATGAGCAATGTGGGTTTCAGTGTACCCCCAAGAACCGATTTTAAAGGAAAAATAGGGAAGGCCTCTAGTAAGCAGACCACTTTTCGAAATCCCATCCAAATACATTTCTTAGCGCCGGGGTTGGCCTTCCGACCAAATCTGATTAGATTCTAACCAGACGTGACATACTGAATCCTACTACCTCTTTCAGAAAGTGTCCTTGGTTTCCATAGACGCCAACAAATGAGGGAACACAACGAATCGAAGCTAACCACTACGATCGAGTCTCCCAACTTGGAACACCCTTAACCCTAACAGTCCTTAATCCTCCAACAGGTGAAGGATTGAGGACTGTTAGGGTTAATGAACTTTTTTGTCACCTGACATTCGTTTTTTTTAATTCTGATTTTGGATATACTTGTAATATTTCCCCCAAATTGTTCAGTCATATATATTACATGTAGCACAGTAAAAAGTAAGCTTGAATGTCAGAAGAAATATGTCTTGAAACTGGCCAAAAAATTGGCAAGTTTTCGGTAAATTGAATAGTTCAGTTCATTGGCGATTTTCTCTTTGTGCTTATGGAAAAATTCTGGGTCACAGCCATTTTATTGCAAAGGGATGTGCATGCACGCACACTTTTCAGGGGACTAAAAACTCGGTTTTGTGCACTGTTTTCGCAAATCATTCTTGCGACCTTCAAGTTTATTTTGTTTGTGTGTGTAAAAATATTTTTTCCGGTTGGGCATTAAATAATATCGGTGACGATCGGTTCTGGGTGAAGGGGTCATTTAACCCCCTCCCAGCCCACCACCCCTGATGAAGTTAAGCTGCGGTGAGTTTCTACATTCGTCTGATGCATGAATTAAACGCTTGATTCTGTGCAGTCAAACGCTGCCGTCTCTCGTGTGCACGTGAAGGCGATACAAAAGGTCTTCAAAGTGCGTTTCTCGCCCGGCGGTGTAATGTCCGTAATGTTTCCACAATCGAGGATTTTTGTGTAGCACATTTTCTGGTAACTTTTGCGAGCTTCAAACACGTAAATGAGCCTTTCGATGGAATGGGTTGCACAACTTTGAGGCTCAGGTGGGGACGCCGAAAAAAGCCGCCAAAACGCGTTTCCACCGAGGTGGCGGTGTGTCGTCGGTTGTCTCCCCATTGAATAACATTCCCATTACGAACGTGCGTCGGATACAACGACGAAAATGACCCGTTTTCTATGGAGCTGTCGTACAAAGTTATGAGTTGTAACTTCGGGTTGATGAAAACACCTCATAACGCGTTCCCTCTGTGGCGTCGTGGAGTCCTCGATTGTCTCCGTATTCAATGACAGTCGTGCAGTACGCTGTGAATGGCGAGCAACCACTGATGTGAGGGATATTCTATGGCGTGGTCTTACAGTAAATGCCTGATATGAGATGCTGATTAAGACACCTCATAACGCGTTTCCTCTGTAGCGTCGTGGAGTCCTCGATTGTCTCCGTGTTCAGTGACATAACATAGTGCGACCATGGAGGTCTTTTCCTACCTCCATGGTGCGACTCATTACAGCGCGTGTGAGACAAAACCGCGAAAATGAGCCGTATTCTATGGAGTCGTACAATGTTGTGACTCTTAACTTTGGGTTGATAAAATCACCTGATAATGCGGTACCTCAGCGCCTCTGTAGTGTACTCCATTGTCTCCTCATTCGGTGACATCTGTGTAGTAAGTCTTGTTACGTACGCTATGGCTGGGTACCGGGGTGGGCTGCAACCACGTAAATGAGTGATTTCGTTGAGTGGTTAGTTATTTTACCTTGCACACAAACCGCAACACAGGTATCGAACATCACCTCGAACGGCACGTTTTGTTTCTGCACCCAGGCCAACAAGACAGTGCTCACACATGAAGGAAGGACAGAGAAAAAGGAAAATTCATTCACGCATGAGTTTAGGGGTCCATCTTCGCTGCACACTTTCTACATAAGTGGGGGCAACGCAATGTCTATCTCTAGAGCTGAACTTAAGTGCTTGTAATACGCTACCGAAGACCATGCGAGGACACATAGCTACGCAGCCCAAACTAACCCTGAAGTTGGTGTGATGGTTCCTGATGGAGGGAGGGCTTTGCCGACTATGATTCAGACTCAGAATCTTGAATGTCCATCCCGAGTTGTCTAAAGTTCAGTGACTGCCAAACAGCCGTCGTACGTTTTTATGCACGTTTTTAGTCTAGACCCCAGTATCCGCACAGCGTATATTTAACCGAGGTTGTTCAGGCAACCGACTGCATGGTGCCTGACTGTGTAAAAATCGACATCGGGCATTACAGTTTACTCAGAGCGAAGGCCAAAATGCCGTCCGACAACTTGGAAGAACAGGGCTTGGAGAAAAACCCAGATCTTGGTCTTGCCCAGCTGAAGTTTCTGCTAACCCTAGACAGTCACAAAGATGATTCGAAAACTAAAGAATCACTCATGGAAGGAATCAAACAAAATAGTAAGTAGTGGCGGCTTTGCCTCAGCCACTGTCAGTTCAAGTTTGCCGAGTCATCCCATTGACATGCTTGATCTATTTCGTGAAAAGATTTTGAAGGGAGAAATTGAAGCACAAGTTGAGAAAGTCAATGTCCAACATTTTTGTCAGATTTCATTGGAATTTTTTTCTTCTTCTTTTTCTCTTTTTTTTGTATCTGCCTACTACTAGTACTAGTACCGACTACGGATAGGGAGGCTGATCATACTTCATAGTCATAAATGTTTTACCATTTTGTGTTTCTTTTTGAAATGATCTTTGACTGAGAGGGGATGTCAATAAATATTTTGATATAGCGGCCTAGGCCTAAGTTTGCATTGCATCGCAAAGAAATATTGATTTAAAGCTAGGGATAATTTGAGATTTGGGGAATTTTTGTAGGCCTACATCATACATTGTGTACATGTTTATCATTACATGTACATGTAATGCAGAGCAAACAGATTTTTTCATTGTACACAGAAATAAGCCTAACATGCCGACATGTAAGTGTGGACTTGACTGAAAAGGTTGAAATTCATATTTCCATAAATGTTTTTTTCTTATTCCTGGATTGTTTCAGTTAATTAAATAAGCACTGGCATCACTTGAAATTGCAAAAATTGGGAAATTGGTAATTAAATAGAGCCTTAGAGGAGCTAAGCCTTCAGCAGGGGAAAAAGACAAATTTGGATCACAATTTCCTATTTAAGAAAATTAGTTAGGGTAGATTCTAACGATGGTAATTAATTGCAGTGGTCAGATGATGAATGCCATTCCCAACAGACTGTGGTGTTGATGAGTATGAGATGGCCCAAAAATGTTTGACTAAATCCAAATCCCATAACACATGCAAGTGTTTCTGACCATGCTGACAGGGCCTAAAATATGATCTCTTTACTCCCATGGAACAATGACGTATACACTGAATCTATTCCCTAAAAATAGATCAGTCCTGCATTGTGTGGTCTTCTTTGTCATCATACCAATCCAAAGGGAAATTTTTTTTAAAAAAACTATCAAATTTGTGTTATTTTTGTGTGTTTATTTTTGTTTTAGTGGGTTTTTTTTTTTGGGGGGGGAGATCTTTTGTCTGTTGGGGAGGTCTTTATTTTTAGTGTGAGGTGGCAGAATTGGCCCAAAGTCTGCTGAAGTGGTGACTCAGAGTTTGTGAGGTAAGCCACCCCACATTGTAATAGGCAAGGTAAACCCCGGTGGTGACTTGCACTGCTTGTCCCTTGAAATCTGACATCAATCTGAAGTGCACACTCATCCCCGGCGCTTCTGCAGTTGAAAAACACAAACTGAATTCCCTGCAGATATGGCTCCGTACTACGAAGAGATCTGTAAGGAGCTGAACTGGAAGACAGACGTCGCACTTCTGAAGAAGATGCAAGCAGCCAATGCCGAAGAGCTCAAGAAACTTGACGCCATACTGGAGGATGCAGAGCAGAACCTTGGGGAGACTGAGGTCCGAGATGCTCTCCTCAGAAAGGCGGAACACTTGTGTCGCATAGGAGACAAGGTGAGTGATGTGCATGTTTAGTATGATAAAAGTTGGACCACCTCACAGTCTGCAAGATACACCTGAGGACTTCCATATCTTTCAAAATGTTACCTGGAGGTTTTGGAGGAGTTTGTAGGATTTAGGAAGGTACTTTCCAGCCACTGTTGCCTGACCTGGGGCTTAATGCACAAAGAATGGGCCATCATTTCCTATCCAGTGGAGGACTTTGGTAGCTTCAGGAAGCTTCCATGTGGGAAGAAATGACTAATCCTAACCCCTCACTAGATTAGGTAAAGTCTAGTGCACTCTGTTGCACTGGTGAGTCAACAGTAGCCAAGCAAACTGCCCATGTTGAGACAATGGGAGCTTGTCCCATTGAACTTTGCCAGTGGTGGGTCTCGTGGTGGCTGGCGACCATATACTCTTGAGATCATTAGGCCTTCTGAGGATCTGTGGGATCTTGCTGCTCTCTGTAGGTAAGTGACCTTGGCAAATGGTTAAAATTGATGCATCTGGCAGGCATTCTAGCCAAAATGCATTGAAAGGTTAGGGATTAGAGTTGAGATAATTTTCTGTATCTTGCTAAAGTTCCCATTTCTCTGTCTAAATCCAGGATGGCTGCCTTGCAGTTTTCAGGAAAGCATTTGACAAGACGATAGCCCTTGGTCACCGCTTGGACATCATCTTCCACCTGATACGGGTCGGTCTGTTCTGGCTGGACAATGACCTGATCACAAGGAATATTGACAAGGCCAAGGAGTAAGCGTGTGGCTCTGGATAGATCAGGCATACAACTTTCCCTCATATCAGCTGATTTCCTCATTTTCCACTTCACGCTCATGCCATTGAAAACTGGCAAAGACTGTACAAAGTCTTGTAAAGGGTGGAAATCCAGGTTTTGTCAAAAATCCAAGTTACATGCCTGATAGATTTGTCAAGAAGTGATTCTCCGGACCCCAACTTTTGGATGCATGCATGTGTTGCAGCATCTTAAGATTTGCGAGTTAGATTTGAATAAAGTCTGGTACACTGAGTTATCCGATTGCACATAAACATAACAATTTGAATTCCCCAGACTAAAAACACTGTTGCTATACCACATGATTCGGGGCAAGTTTTTGCATAGTGACCACCGTCTCTGGAATGGACTGGCTCCTTTGTGGCCTTGTTATCCAGTGAAAACAGTGTATTGGTGCAAGGCGTCTCTTATGTAACTAAGCAAAAGCTTGCCCCGAATGATGAGGTGTAGCAACAGTGGTTTTAGTATGGGGAATTCAAGTTATGTTCAAATGAATTTAAAGAACTCAGTGCACCAGATTTGGGTCAACGTTAACTCACAAAAGGCTTACTGAAATAACACAAAACACAGATTTTGGCATCGGGGAAACTAAAATGTAGCTTCTGCACAAGTGAAGCTTGTCAAAAGACGTACATGTTTGTGGTTCAGCATTTGTGTTTCTCTGCTGAGACAAATCCAAGCTCGTGATATCTGTGCAACAAAAAATTCCCTGGGAATGGCAGATGCATTTTGTTAGTTGTTGAACAAAGTAATAATCCCTGACCATTCCTTTGTTTTTTCCTACTTGTTTATTCCAGAATTCTAGTAATCATATTCACAGAATTGTCTGTACACTTTCACCCGAGTTAAACAGTCAACAAATGCACTACTGAATGGGTCATCGTTTCAAATAAGTTGTGCAAATTTGCCAGCCAAGTCTGGCAGCTCCAATTTCACTCACAGGGTTTGCTGTTTGGTCTAAAAGGTTGGAGAAAACCCCAAGTTTAAATGAGACCTCAACCTGTTCTGCCGAAAAACTACTTTTTTCTTTGCAGATTGAAGATTTTAATGAGCCAAGAAGCGGAGACGGTTTGAGCAGGCACATTTAATTTATTTCCCTTATTTAATTTCCCTCAGCATGATTGACGAGGGCGGGGACTGGGACCGGCGGAATCGTCTCAAGGTCTACCAGGGCATCTACAAGATGTCTATCCGTGACTTCAAGAGTGCCGCCCAGTTCTTCCTAGACACGGTGTCCACGTTCACCTCCTACGAGCTGATGGACTACACGGAATTTGTCTCCTACACCGTGATCGTCTCGATGATATCACTGGACAGAACGGAACTCAGAAAGAAAGTGGGTTCCTCCCATAAATTACTTACCTTAAGTTGCTAAACGTCATCCTTTCTCAAAACTGCAAATTCAAACATTGATTTTGAGCCTCAATTTGAAACATCTGTTGGTACGGAGAACAAAAGAAGGACAAATTTTCACACAAATTAATGGTGTATTCATGTAACATTTACACCGAGAACAATATGTATCTGTTCTCAGCCACTGGGTGTTAAATGTCATTTTCTTGTCTAATATTCCTTGGTGGTTTTATACTAACAGCCAGTTGTTCACCCAATTAGCCGGTCACAAGTGTCGCTTAGGTTTGGTTTGATAGCCCAGTTGGGCTACCTTTATACCAAAGCACGTTTACATGTAACCTGTGTAGATTTACTGAAGGATTACTTTATTGTTCCCTATACACAATCTCATTATGATGCATTTAACAACATTTTCATTACCAGGTTGTGAAGGGAGCAGAGATTCTCGAAGTCTTGCACGGTCTGCCTGACATGAGGAATTTCCTGTTTTCGCTCTACAATTGCCACTATGCAGAGTTCTTCAAATTACTAGGTAAGACAACAAGGCAAGGCATGATTGATGAAATATCGCCAAAACTAATGGATATGAAGCATGTGCTCAGACATGTCTATACTCGGATTTCATCTTTGGCCGTAGATGTGCAACTTCTTAACTCAAACGGCGCCCTCTTTTGACTGATGAACATCACATGTTGATAATAATAATGGATATTTACATGTATGAAGTGTACACATCCGCCATCACTGTTATTCAAGAGGTGGCCCATCGTTACCCCTGCTCACCAGACCCATAAACCTTCCTAAAGCCATCTCAGCTCCCCGGGGAGTATCCGCTCCAAGCGGAACAAAAGAGGGCGTGTTTGTTTTGGTACCCACCGCGCAGGCGCGCAAGTATATGCGTGTTTGACGCGGAGCACGCTGAATACACGTAACTAATTTATTCTGGCATATATGGTCTTTGCGTACACGCAGAACGCGCGCAAGAACCCGCTTGTAACCACCTGTCTTCCTTTTCTCCGATTGGGGGTGCACTTCAGCTCAGTGCGGATGCAGCTTGAAGCTGCCATTTCGGACAGAAACAGCTCATGAGACACACCCACTATGTCAATCATCTCTGCCCTCACAGGTGTCTGGGAGGAGATAAACAAATTGATGTATAAAATGACTTGCCCAAGGACGTAGCATGTAACCAGCAGCATGATTCAAAGCCCAGACCGTATTTTAGAGAGCTACAATTCCCAACCACACGCCCTCATGCTTCCTCCGGAGCCATGATGATTGACTTGTTGGCCCGTCTCTTACTCTACCAGCTAGGAGTATTCACATGCCTATTGGAAGTGGCTACGGCTGCTGTGCAGTGCCACCATCAGTAGGCATCAGTAGGCATGTGTGTCCCCTCCAGCAATAGCCATTACTTTCCAGACTTAGCCTAAATCTCTCACCATCCGCCCTGAGCCGAAGTGCATCCTCACCGGCAGAAGAAAGACAGATGGTACTAAGTTTTCCAACCGGGTCCTTGCACGCGTTCGGTGTGAACACAAAGAGCACACATTCCAGACTAAAATCGTTGCGCGTAATCAGCGTGCTCTGCGTCAAACGTGCATAAACTTGTGAACCTATGCGGTGTGTGAGTACCGAAGGGCTGTCAACTTTATCTCAAAATAGGCCCTCTTTTGTTCCTGCTCGGAGCGGCGAACTTAGAACCAACTCATCTGTGCACACCAAGGTGCTTACTGTTATTATTGAACAGGTGGTCGAAAACGCTGTATTATCTTTGAACTCGACAAACTCATTTAAATTAAAATTTCTTTGTCCAGAGGCTAATTTTTCAGAAGTACTTCATGACATTTTTAGGATGATGCCAATTTAAAAGAGCAGTGATAGAGTGGCAAACATTCTCAGGCCAAAGAGTGCGGAGCTCAATGGTCCAAGACGGCATGCTACCACTGCACCAGATTAGAGATATTTCAAATTTTTGACAAAAGGTCAGCGCAGTAGTTGCGCTGTGTCCAGACAAAACTAAACTGACCTAAGCTTTCCTTCATTCCTTGCTTTCACCTTCGGCAGCCAACGTGGAGACCAAGCTGAAGTTGGACCGCCTGATGCGACCCCACTACCGTTACTACGTGCGAGAGATGCGCATCCTGGCCTATACCCAGCTCCTGGAGTCCTATCAGAGCCTGACCCTGCAGTACATGGCCGATGCCTTCGGTGTCAGCGTGGACTTCATTGACCAGTAAGTGTACCGATTACCTTTGTCTTGTG